TGTTCAGATCAGACTGTTAGGCCGTGTGGGCGTGGCACCAGGAGTCCCCAACCTCAGGAGGCTTATCCAGAAGAGCCCCTGGAGCCCTGGGTTTGAGACCAGCCTGGGCAACACAGTGAGGCCTTGTCTGTCAAAAAATAAAAAATTAAAAAATTGAGCAGATTGTGGCAGCGCATGCCTGCTATCCCAGCACTCAGAAGGCAGAGGCAGGAGGACGGTGGGCTCAAGGCCTGCTTGGGCTATCTCTCCAGACTGCCTCTGAGCAATGAAACTTTTGAGCAAATGGACTCCTAGGCTGGGGATATAGCTTTTTATTTTATTTATTTTGCAGTACTGGGGATTGAACTCAAGACAACAAAGGACATCCCTCATCACAGGCAGCTGCAAAGCTGGGGTCTCCCAGCAGGGTCAGTGCACGGGGACAAGGAAGCTGCAAGGGCAATGGGACTGGCCTAGTGGCCTGCGTCACAGGCAGGAGGGCCATGCTGGGATCCCAGCCACAGGCCGGGCTGCTGAGAAGCCTGCCGCTGTTTCCTCCACGAGTTGAATCTGTGCTGTCCAGCTTGAACTGCTGCCCCTCCCTCCATCCCTCCTTCCCTCCCTCCTTTCCATTCTTGTATTGATAGGCAAGCCCTCTTCCACTGGGCTATACTGCCAGCTCCTAAGCACACTTTGGGATCTTAAAAAACATGGGTAGGGCTAGGGGTGATAATGGCAAAAAGCCCTGGGCTTGATCCCCAGCTCGGAATGAATGGATAAATGAATGCATAGCTGAATGAAGGAATGCATAAATGACCAAATATCCTCTCCTCCCCTCCCACTCTGAGAGCCCACTGAGGCCCCCTTGTGGTCACACTGTCTCGCACGCTGCTGAGCAATACTTGGTCTTTGTTCCCTCCCCTGCATGGCCCACCAGGGTCTGAGGCCTTGCTGTCACAGGGGCTCCGCCCTGCTGCCCAGCAAGAGCCCAGAAAGAGGCAAATTCACGCTGGATTTGCAACCCTAGCTCTTAAGAGGCTGAGGCAGGAGCATCACAAGTTCAAGTCCAGCCTGGGCAATTTATCAAGACCCTGTGTTAAAATAAAAAATAAAGATCTGGTGCTGTAGCTCCAGGCAAAGCCCCCAGCGAGCTCTCCAGTACAGGGGAAAAAAAAACCAAAACAAAAACCCTGCCATTTCTGGAAGCAGACATAGCTTTCACTTGAAATCCAGAAAGCACAACAAAATTTGGACGCTCTGGGTGCAAAGTTCCAAGAGGGAGAAGTTTAATAAGAGTGCTCCGGAGGTGGGGCTAGCCTGGGCGGCTGCGGGGTGCAGGCAAAGTGGCCAGGTGCTGCCGCTGGGGCTGGCAGCTGCTCCTTTTGGTGCGAGCCTCGTGTGCAGGCGTCCTGGCATGCACACAGGGTGGCGTGGGCCAGCACAGCCCGGGCCTGGAGCTCTGGACTTGACGCCCCGGAGTCTGCATCATCCTCTCCTTCAGGCAAACTCAGGAGGACAGACACCCTCAGCCCTTTGATTTTGAGTATCTTTTTTTTGGGGGGGGTACTGGGGGTTAAACTTAGGACCTTGTGCTTGACCAGACAAGTGCTTATTCCACTGAGCTATCTCCCCAGCCCCCCTTTTTGATTTTGAGACCCCAGTCTCACTGCATCATGAAATTGCTCAGCTGGATTTGAACTTTTTTTTTTTTTCCCAAACCGGGGATCGAACTTAGGTCCTTGGGCTTGCCAGGCAAGCACCTATTCTACTGAGCCATCTCCCCGGCTCTGGGTTTGAACTTATGAGCCTCCTGCCTCCGCCTCCTGGAGTGCTGGGAGGCCACACAGGAGCCACCCTGCCGGGCTGGTGACTACCTCTCAGCAGGGAAGGGTAGAGACACCCCTCAGGCCTCAGCCACACCAGAGTGATGCTCTGTCCCCACCGTCAGTCACCTCACCTGACTCCACACACCATGGGCAATCAGTTCACCAAACACGCTGAAGAAAAATAATTCATTTATTTAAATTACAATAACAAGGCTTTGTTCTCCATGCTGAGAGGCAGGCTTTCCACAGTTCTGCATGTGCTAAGCCTCACTATGTCACAGCACAACTGGAAATTTGTAAAAACAAATTTTCTTGCTGGGGACATAGGGAGACTCCTGTCTGCACGCCCAGCCTGGGCCCACATCATAATCTTTATTGAAAACAAAAAGAAAAACAAACCAAACACACACGCACGCACGCACACACCCACGCACGCACATACGCACGCACGCAGAGGCCCGAAGTGGCTGCGAAACTGGGTTGCGCGCTCTAGATCTGGCAAGTGCATGAAAGTGCAGCCCAGAGACTCGGTGCTGGCCAGCGTCGCGCCAGTTATGGCTGAGGTCATGCTTGGGTGATGGTGGGACAGGCAGATAAACATTAACAAAGCTGACAGAGGAGAAGGAAGCCCAGGGCTGTGGGGAGGGAGCGTGGTGGCCCCTTGGCTCTGGCTTACATTTAAAACAAAAACTGAGAGCTCAGTGGACTGAAGTGCCTGCTTAGGCAGACCCAGGGACTGGGGTTCCATCTCCCGCGTGCTATGCCAGCCCCGCCTCGGGGGCATACTGAGCTGGCACTGAGACTGGCTGTGGTGGTGCAGGCCTGTAATCCCAGCGCCTGGGGGACTGAAAACAGGAGACTCACTACCAGTCCGATCTGTGTAGTGAGACCCTGTACTAAATACATAAAATAAAACAAAAGTCCCACCGTTTGATCAATTCCTGTTTTGCTCTCAAAAACAAAATTTGTATCAGGAAAGTTGTCATTCACAGGACTTACGAGCTTTCAGGCCCAAATTTGTGGCTTTTATCCTAGTCCTTCAGTTTTTTGTTTTGGACAGTCTTGCTGTGTAGCCCAGGCTGGTCTGAAACTCCTGGTGACCCTCCTGCTTCAGCCTCCTGTGTGCTAGGAGTAGAGGTATGCATCACTTCGCCCAGCTCATCCTCGAGAGTCCCCACCCAGCACAGTGGCCTGCTACTGGCTGGGACGGAGGTGTGAGGCTGTGTGTGTGATGGGAGGGAGAGGTCTGGTGAGCAGAAAGGAAGGTGACAGGAGGCACTCGAGGTGTGACAAGGAGCAGACAGCCCAGCCTCCGCGTCAGCCAAATGCCCAGGAAGTCTGAGCCCAGCAGCGGCAGCAGCTGTTTCCCAGGCCCGGGCTTCCCCTGCGGGCCTCTCCCGAGACACAGCTGGCTGGCAGTTGCTCCAGGCTCGTCACAGGGTTGCATTGTGGGGTCAGGGGTCAGGGGTCAAGGTCCCGCCCCCTCTGTGGCAGTCCCCTTCCTCCTGGCCAGTGCTGATTCACCCTGTGAATCATTTCCTTGTTTCCCCGCAAGAACTTCTCGTTCTATCCTAGACCCCGAAAGCCCTTCAGCAGCTCTGCCCCAGGATATGTGCTGATGTCTCTAGGAGACCCCAGGGACGTATGGCGGCGGCTGTGGTGGCCAGGGCTGGGTCCTTGGACTCTGGGGGATGCTGCCCCACCCTGAGCGTTAGAAATTCGCCTTCACAGGACAACAGAAAGGAGCCTTTGGGACTCAGTCCTGTGAACGAGGACTCCTTTCCTGATACATATTTTGTTTTTGGGAGCAAAACAGGAATTGACTGCGTGGGGGTGCAGGGTGTTGATTTAAAATGAAGCCAGAGCTAGTCATTCCAGTTTTGTGGTGTCTAAAGGAATCCAGGGGAGTTGCCCCCCATCCTCCAAAAGATACGACTTCCTGGTGGAGCCCCGGAACCATCTATACTTCCTGTTCCAGCCTCTGTGAGAAGCTGCAGGATAGAAATGAAGACACAGAGGCTTTTTAAGCTCTCTTCTAAGGCTGAGGATTCACACCAAAAGCACCAGGCTTGGGTCCTGTCTCCAGTACCAAAAAATAAAGCCAACCACTCTCTAGCGTGTTTCTTTTAAATGTAAACATTCACTCCAGGATCCAGCTTGCCTCACTTGCAGCCCCCCCCCCCAAAAAAAAGAACACTAGAAAGGCTTTCTTACTCAGGCGTGGGGTGGGGTGGGGTGGGGTGGGGGGTGGAAGGGTAGGGGGTAGGGGAGCCGGACCAAGCAGGCCTCTACCCAGGCTCCATCCCAGCCCAAGCCTACACCTCCAAGACTCAGTATTTGGATCCTTCAGTAACTCCCGAGTGGATCCTCTTCCTACAGGAAACTCAACCAGCAAGTGGACGAGCCCCATGCCCTCCCGACCCACTTCTTCTGGTCAAACTAAGGAGGGGATGGTCTGAAACGCCTGTTCTCAGGGACACCCTGAGAGGCCACCTGGCCAGCACTGGAGGAGGAGACCTGCATATTATGGGACAGGCAGAGGCAGGTCTGTGGGTTCTGAAATGCAACCCTAAGGGCTGATAACCCACAGCAAGAAACCTAGCACCCCGACACTGACTCTGGGCCTGAGCTGAACTGTGCTTCTTGGTGGCCATCACTTGCAGCCACAGGGGACAGAAGGCATGGCCTGGTTGGAAGGAACTGGCCTCTCTGCTGACCAGCACCACTGGCCAACGGAGCTGGCCGTCCCAGGGACTCTGCTCCCTGGCTACAAGGTATCTGCTCCTCTTCAATGTTGGTGCCGGGGACCCATCCCAGTCCCCTGACAGTTAGTCATGGCGGGGCACAGATGGGGGTCTCACAATTGTAAACAGTGCATCGTGGCCTGGGGACACTGTGGGTCCCTGGACGACAGGCTCTGGTGGAACCCTGGGTCCCCAGCTCCGGAGTCTCCTGCTGGCCTCTAGCAGATGAACCCCAAGTGCACCGAGGGTGTGGGAGGTAGAAGAGGCTGAGGGGGCTCTGCTTCCTCATGAGTGGACAGCTTCACCGGAGTCCTGAGGGTCTCCCAGCATGGAGGACGTGGACACCTTGAGGTGGTTGGCCGGGCTTGGGGTGGAGGGCTGGAGACAACAGCAGCACAAGGCAAAGAGCCGCTCTCTGATGGCACGGGTGCCCAGGACGAACAGGATGCAGTTAGCTCCGCCCTGGAAGGTATTCCCAACGCCCTACAGGGAAAGAGGGGTGAGACTGGCTGGGACGGGCCACTTAGCCCTGGGCCTGGCCCCCTGCACCGGGAGGGATCGCATTGGACAGCGCCCAGCGCTCTAGGCTGCCTGCCGGAGCGCCCAGTGCCCACTGGGCCCCTTGGGGACCCTCAGACCTACGTGTAGAAGGACAAGTGCAGGTGCGCGCACCAGCGGGGAGCCACACAGTGTGAGCACGAAGCGCACGGTGCCCCAGATGCGCAGGCAGATGAAGACGAGCGGGATCAGCACGAGCTTCTTGTCAGCCACTGCGGCCCAGGTGGAGGCGGGGGCGCAGGGCTGCGGAGGAGGATGGGCCTCGCAGATGGGCCGGTACTCGGACAGCGCCTCGTGCTGCAGAGGGAGGGCCAGAGGGGTGGAGGGGGCTGCGCCTCTCGGCCACGTGCACCCACTGCGCGTGGGTCCACCTCGGGCTTGTGCTGCGTGCCCCACCTCCTTGGGGGCCCCCCACACCTCCGGCTGTGGTGTCCAGGACAGAACATCTGTCCTCACCTGCACGCCCCTCCCCCACATCCTGGCTACACAGGGTGTGGTGGTGCATAGCTGTGATCCCAGGACTTGGGAGGCTGGGGCAGTAGGATTGCTGTGAGTTCGAGGTCAGCCTGACCTACATAGTGGCTTAAGGCCAGCCAGGACAGCAGAACCTGTCTTAAAAGAAAAATAAAAAGCACTAGCAGCCTTGGAAAGATGTAGAAGGGGGCAGCATGTGGGAAGGGAGCAGGTGCCCGGAGGCCAGAGAGGGCTGTGAGGAGGTCCTTGCTCCAGATGGGTGCACAGCAGGGTGGCCCTGAAGGGACCTGTCAAGGGGAAGTCAGAGTTCTCTGTGCCACTGCCCGGGCAACCGGATGCCAGTGTCTGATGGAATGCACGCCGGACATTTTCCCATTCCTCAGGGTGAGTAACCTGTGTCCTGGCCACAGGAGGGCAGCAGAGGGCAGGGCTGAGAACCTGGCATGGAAGCCCACGGTGGCCTACCGCTCTGTTGATGTGTTTGCGGACCAGCAGGTAGAGCACAGGCAGCGTGATGTAGGCCAGCATCTCCCACAGCTTCCCGGTGAGCAGCAGCCACAGCAGGTGGTCCTCGGCCTCCAGGTCCACCCAGCACCAGCCCACGGACACGTCAGAGGCGTCGTAGCCAATCTTGTTGAGGGCAACAGCCACCACAGTGATGACCAGTGGGACGCCCCAGCTGAGGGGCAACAGGAAGAGGGATGCACTGAGGTCATCAGCAGCGACCACACATCGCAAGGGTAGGGTCCTTGGGAAATAAGGAGCTGGGGACCCCGGGGTGGGGGCACAGGCCTGCGATCCCAGCACTCTGGGAGGCTGAGGCAGGAGGGCTGCAAGTTGGAGGCCAGCCCCGGCAATTTAGTGAGGTAGCTCAATACTATGGCCCTAGGTTCACTGCCCACTGCCACAAATAGAAAACAACGCCAAGCCAAGCCAGGCAAGGGCTGAGATTCTGGTGGCCCTGCCTGTAATCTCAGACACAGGATACTGAGCAGGAGAATCACAGGCTCAAGGCCAGCCTAAGCAACTTAGCCAGACCCTGTCTCTGAATTAAATAATAAAAGGACTGGGGGTGTCACTCAGGGGCAGAGCACTTGCCTAGCATGTGCAAGGTTCCATCCCAGCCCCAGAGAAAAGGAAAAAAGAGCTGGGATGCTCGTGCAGCAACCTGGGTCTGCGTCAGGACCCCGCTCCACTCAGGAGCTTATCTGGCCCTGACCAGCGGGAGAGGACAGAGCACAGAGCACCAGGCAGCAGCATGCAACGCTGTGGTGGCCACGAGCACACAGCTGGCTGCACTTTGGGAGCTGAGGGTCAGGAATCCGAGCTCCATCTGGAGGAAAATCATAGGCATGAATCCAGAGCCCAAGTGGCTCCAGGTCACTGCGACCAGGCCGAGAGGTGCTGGGGCCATGGTGGGGGTGTCCTCCTCAGCTGGGGTGTCCGGGCACCTGTCCCCTTCCTGTCCCTGGCCTCTGCAGGATCTTCGTTAGTTGCTTAGTTGCCCAGGCTGGCCTCACACTTGTGATCCTCCTGCCTCAGTTTCCCAGAGTGCTGGGGTGACAGTACGGGCAGGCGTCACTGTGCCGGGGGAAATCTGAACACTCCCTGTGGCTTGACTTGCAGTCAGCTATTCACTGTCATTACATGACACTCCTAGAGGGGGCAGAGCTTAGTGCGATGCACCCATGAGTTCTGCAGAGGTAGCACCCCTGACATACAAGTTATTCTCGTGTCACTCTGGGTCACTTGACAACCTCGGCTCTGCACTTGGGCCCAGGTAAGTAGCCCATGGGTGATCTTTGACAGACACAGGGCTGAAATCTCCCCCTGAAGCAGTGAATACTGCTTTTTACAGACCCATGTCCCTTTAGAGACCCAAGTTCCCAGGTCTGCCTGGTCACCAGACACACCCAGGCTGCCCTCCCCCTAGGTGTGGGAGGCAGATTGGAGACCCAGGGTGGACGATCTCCTCTCTTGCACAATTTGTCCCTGCTCTGACATAGCGACTGGCACACTGACTGGTCTCTCTCCGGAACCCACACATCACTGCTCACCAGCTGAGTTAATATAGTGTTTTTTTTTTTTTTTTTTTTTTTTTTTTTTTTTTTTTTTTTTTTTTTTTTTGTGTGGAACCGGGGATTGAACTCAGGCCCTTGCGCTTGCCAGGGAAGCACTTATTCCACTGAGCCATCTTCCCAGCCCCTCAGGTGAGTTAATATGAATTAGTGCCAGTGCATTTTATTGTAAGAAAGGGCTCTCATCTTCCTCACTTTAGGTTTCTCCAGACAGGGTCTCACTGTGTAGAGCTGGTCTTGAGCTCACTGTAGAGCCCAGGCTGGCCTTGAACTACAGGCAATCCTCCTGCCTCAGGCTCCACTATGCCCAAAGTATCATGTTAAAATTCATGCCACCCAAGGATTTTTTTTTTTTTTCAGAACCAGGGATTGAACTCAGGCCCTTGTGCTTGCCAGGGAAGCGCTTATTCCACTGAGCCATCTCCCTGGCCCCTACCCCAGGATCTTAGGATGATGTAAATCCTGCTTCTTGAAAGGGCTGGATGGGCTCAGGGCTCTGCCTCCAGCATGTGGAACAGTTCAGGGAGTTCAGAGGGCCCAGCGCAGGAAGAAGTGGAGTTGACGGGGACAGAGTGCCTGCAGCCCCTCCAGTTTCTTGGAGGACAATTTTTCTAGGACTGGAGGAGGAGACAGTTTTAGGATGAACCGGGCAGCACCCAGGGCTATATATGTGGGTGATACTTTGCCAGCTCACCTCGGGCTGTGCGGCCAGGCTCCTAACAGGTCACCAATGGGTCCTGAACAAGGTGTGGGCACTTGGATCCCCGGTTTATGGGGCCTCCCTGGAAACCATGCGGACAGCACTGTGTACACTGCTGGTGGACCCTGCAGCCAGGGCAGGCAGGCACAGGCTGGCTGAGATGTACCTGGGAGGACCATGAGGGAGGGTGAGGGAAGGGCGTTTCACAGGTTATGGCAAGTGAGCTCTGAGGGCCACCTGGGAACCAGAAACTGCTGGGCAGGAACGGGGAGGCAGCAGTGAGGGAGGAGGAAGAGGAAGAGGAGGAGGGTTGAGCAACCTTGCAAAACAGGCTGGACCAGAGCCGCCGGCTTGAGCGCACAGCCAGGGCTAACTGCTTATGCTTCACATCGGGCTCATCAGAAAGAGATGCATGTGCATGTGCGCATGCGCGGATATGCAATATAAACTTTTAAAGCTTGCATTCATTCATTTACTTATCTTACACAGGGTCTCACTATGCAGCTCAGGCTGACCTCGAACTCGTGGTGATCCTACTGCCTCAGCCTCCTGAGACAGTGCTGGGATTACAGGTGTGCACCACAGGGCCATCCAAGGCCTGTGTTGTAATATTCAGTCTTATTGCCACTCCTCTCATTCACTGAGTGCCTGAGGCCATATCCCAGTGGAGCTGGGCAGTGTCCACCAAGGAGGCTGGGTGCAGCATTCGATCTGGCTCAGAGGTTGGCTGATCTGCTTCCCACCTCAGGCCGAGGGACAGAGCACATCCCATCTGCATCTTCCCCTTGACAATCACGCATGGGCAGTGTCCACTCAGCAGCGCCCGAGGTGGGGAAACTGCAGCTGCTCCAAGGTGTTCCCACCTCACAGGAGGGACCAGGAACACACAGAATAGGGAACCGATCAGCTGCTGCCAATGATGTCATTTCCAGGCATCATGAACTCTAACTGCCGGTTTACAAAATCCCCTAACATGTAGCCACTGGATCTCAGGTGAGAAGAAAGCAGGTGTCCTGGGGGCCCTGAGGGGGTCGAGGATGTGCGCTGAAGGACACAGGCAGCTCAATTTCTGCTTCGAGAGCTGGACACTTCCGGTTCTGACCGGTACCAAAAAGGAAGCCAGCAGCCCCCAGGGCAGTCAGATGGGTTCACTTGTCCATGAGGAAAAGGCCCGGCACTTACTTGATCTGTGGTCCGAGGCGCCCCCCAAGATTTAGCTGTTGAAGCCCCAACCCTTAGAACCTGAGATTGAGACTGTATTTGGAGATAGACTTCCAAGAGGTAATTAAAATAAAATGAGGTCATAGACCAGGCGTGGTGGTGCACACCTATAATCCCAGCACGGGAGGAGCTGAGGCAGTGTAAATTCAAGGCCATCCTGAGCTGCACAGTGAGCTCAAGGCCAGCCTGCCTCCATAGAGAGACTCTGTCTCAAAAACCAAAAACTAAAACAGGTCCACGAGTGTGGGCCTCAGTCCAATAGGGCTGCTGTCCTCATAGGGACGGAGGAAGGCACAGACCCTAACAGGAGGGAAGCCAGCTATAAGCCCTGGGGCCCTTGGGAAACAGCTGTGTCCTCACCTTGAAGTTGGGCTTCAGCCTCCAGCCTGGTTCCAGTTTCCGTTCCTGTTCCCGTTCCAGTTCTACGGGCAAGGGCTGAGTTGGGGGCCCACCCCGCCCTGCTGGGCAGGCAAGCGTGGGGCAGGGAGATGGAGGGGCAGCTATGGGGTCTTCACAGTGCAGCCTTCTCGGGGCCCTTTAGTTTGCCTCTAAAGGATTTGGGGAAGGACCTGGGAGCACCCCAGGGTTCGTACTTTCACCTGCCCGACTCCCACCCTACGTTATGCCCAGCTCTGCCCACCTGGGGACTCTGTGACCAGGCAGGTGGGCACGGTCTGGGGGGCCCTGCTGGAATGAGCCTGCTGGCTTCCCGAGGCCCTGCCCTTGGGGCTGTGCCCATCCTTCAATGGTAACATAACTCAGGGACGCTGGGGCCTGGCTGCAGGGAGCCAGGTGACCTTGGCCAGTCACTCCCCTGGGACAATGGACACCTATTGTCCAGCATGTGTGGACAGAGCATAAGGACACACGTGGAAGCACTCAGGGAGTCAGTCCCAGGCAAAACGACCTGTGTCACCATATGGCGAGGCTGCTGGATGAGATGAATGGCCTTTTAAATATGCATGTCCCTGGCCCTGGACCCTGGGGAGCGCCTTATCACCTGGGTCCTGGTCACTGGGCCTCGTAGGCTGAGGGCAGCTCTGCCCACATGGCCCCTGGGGTAGTGCCAGGGCCAAGCACCTGCCATAGGAGTCACACTGCATGAGCCAGTCAGCACAGGGTCCAGATGAGGCAGTGCTGGCATCTGGTGACAGTTACTCCATGGCAGACAGCTGCAGGGCAACTCCAGACAGAAAGGCTGGGACCAACCCATCCTGTACCCCCTTGGAACTCCTGGCAATTCTCCTGCCTCAGACTCCCAAGTGCTGGGATTACAGGAATGTGCCACCACTCCTGGCTCACCAGTCAACTCTTAATAGCACCAGTCAGCCCTCTACATAGCTCCAATGGCAGATGCCCCGCAGCAGGAATTGTGGAGAGGGGACAGTGAGCCACAGTA